GGAGCCCGATGTGGGGCTCGATCCCAGGACCCTGGGATCATGACCTGAGCCGAAGACAGACGCTTAACGACTGAGCCACCCAGGCGCCCCTGGCCCTTTTTTTTTTTTTAAGATTTAAAAAAATTTATTTGAGAGAGAGAGCACAAGCAAGGGGGAGGGGCAGAGGCAGAGGGAGAAGCAGACTCCCCACTAAGCAGGGAGCTCAACACGGGACTCGATCCCAGGACCCCGGGATCATGACCTGAGCTGAAGGCAGACGCTTAACCCACTGAGCCACCCAGGCACCCTACATTGACCTTTTAATGTGTCAGATGTGAAAAGTATTGTTTTTAAATGCATTTTAAGGTTCAAAACTGTTCTCACTTAGCATCTTTATAAATCTCTTTCTGCAGCTACCAGTGTTTATGCATCTTATTTATTGGAGTCTGGAAGTCTGGTTATCCTTTCTACTATTTAGATTACTTTATTAGAAGGTATTATGGATCCACCATTAAATGTTTGTCACTGATAAATAAGATTAAGTTAAATGTTATCCTGTAGTTTGCCGCTTGGGAGGAGCATGGGGTAGAAGCAATGGAGTAGGGAGAATTACTTTTGCATGTAAGAGTGATAATTAAGCGATATTGGAACTTCACTACTGTAAATACACTATAGTTCTTTTTCTTTAAAGAGTATTTGAGTTTGTTTAAAATACCTTTTGGTCTGTGTTTTATTTTTCATTACTTTTCATTTTCTGTCCATTTTTCATTATTCAGCTATTACCTTTATTCTGACATAGACAAAAATTACATCTTTTTCATATTTTATTATTTTCTTTGTGTTGTCTTTTGGATCCACATTGTTGGCAGCATTTTCCCCAGTGGCCTACAACATGGTAACTACTGTAATTAATCTTAACTGTCTTATAAGATTTTTCATTTTTCATGTCAAACCACATTGGATGATCTCTAAATCAGACCAAATTCTTCTAAAGCATATAGTAAGATTTCTGAATTTCTAAAATTTGATTTAAGCTTTTTATGTTAGTCTTTTTGTCTAGATGTTACACTGACATGCATTTTAACTCTGGGCCTAAAAAAAAAGTAGGTGTGCTTTAATGTCCAGATCAAATGTTATCCTGCGTTCTACTTAAACACAGTGCCTTGGCTCACTGCCAATTTGTACTGCCTTCTCCCTGCTCCCCACTCGTTCTTAGGGCCTCTGTCCTGTTTCCTAGATACTGTTGCCACCACTCTGCTGGAGCAGGGCCTTCCTCCCTCTTCCACTCTCTCTAATCTCAGGACAGTTGCTAGAAAATGGGGGAAAATTTAGAGGTCCAAAACTAATATCATATACTGTATGGGACCTAAGGGTATTCTGGAGAAATAATGTTAAAGCGTTCCATGGAAGTGCAAGTTATAAACAGTGTATAGTAGCAGTTACCCTAAGTTTTTATTAATAAAGTCATATGCTGTGGGTACCTAGGTGTGACTCTGTTTCTTAATATATTAAAGATTATAATCTTCCATCTCACCTTTTAGGTATATGTAAATATTTACTTCAGAATTTTTAAGCACATTCTTATAGTTTTATTTTTAGCTTTTAGCTCTTAAAAGACAATTTTGCCTTTTTACAGAGACTTAATTATGTATATGTGTGAGTTTTTATATATACATATTATGCATCTTATATATACATAAACACACACACACACACAGTTGTAAGTGGCTTGATACATCAAAACACTATGGATCCCTGTGTTTGCTTGTGTTATTTCAGTAACTATAGGCCTTGGTTTATTAATGAAGAGACCAAAGATGCTCTGATAAATTAGAAGAGATACAAATCTTAAGAGAAAAGTCAAGATGGCAAATGATAGGCATCAGGTTTACCATTTCTGTTCTGTTGGTGATGTCCTGTCTGCTGGGCAGGATTCCAGAACTTGGAAGAGGAAAGTGACTTAGGCTCAAGAGACTTGATGTCTCTGGTCTAGAAGCTTCATAACCAAAGATAATTAAAGCGTAGATTGGTTTACTTACAGAGCACTTCTTCATTTATCTACCAAATGATATGGGTAAATGTGAAACAAGTTTAAGCCAATATTGTAAAGAATTGGGCAATGACTAATTGCTTCCTACTCTGCTTGGGGAAAGTTTCAAAATGAGAGAAAGGATTTAAAATGGGATAGTATTTCTTTTCTTCAATGCCTTTCTCTACTTTGCGTTGTTATATTAGTTTCATTACCCTAGCTTTGAAGTACTATAAACAGTGTTGTTTACTTATATGTTCGTAAGATAAAGTCTTTTCCTGTTATGTACAGTTCTGTCCTTTGTATTAGGACTGATAAGTGTATTTTCAATGGAAAAAGCTTATAGTCACTATACAGACAACTACCTACATGAATTCCTTCAGGGAAATTCCTGTTTGTTTCAGACTTGGCCTCAAAAAAGCAGGGAGTCTTGTAATACAATAGTAAACTGCTGGATTCAATTTGATTACATGGTTTATTCTGACTACTCTCTTATTTTCACATATATAGTTCCTTTTTAAGATGTTGGTTATTCTTGTTTGGTTCATCTTAGGTGCTATACATCAAAAGGCGATTACAATACCTTTGCTGCTTTTATGGTTTAAAATTATAATTGCAACATTTGGTGGTTCAATCACTATCCGTTCCCTTAGTCATGTCTCACCTTTTTTTTTCTTTTCTCTACCTTTTTCTTTTCTATTTTAAAATAAAAGCAGCTGTATTTTTCATTATTATACTTTCCCATTTCCCTTTTTTCTTTTGTTACAGAACTGTAGAAATGATGGAGGCAGAATTCTGCTAATCTATCAAACCCTGTTTTCTAGTCTCATCTCTAAATGTCCAGAATGTTGTAGAAGCTTAAATTTTGGTGCCACATTTAATTAGTATGAGATGTTCTTTTATGGTAGTTTTAATGCGTGGTCCGTATCTTCCAATTCCTTAAAATATTAATCATTTACTATATTGTCCATTCATCTCCTGCTCTAGAAAACAAATTTTATGTATTCGGAGTCATATTTTGTTTAAATCCCAAAGTTAAAAGAGTGGCAGATATACAATTCAGCATGCAAACTAATTATTTATTCGTATCTTGTAAGTGAATGTTTATTTTGCATTGATTTAATGATAATACTCGAATTGTTTCTTTACCAGTGTCAACCACCTATTTTCTACTTCCATGGAATTTATAAATTAGTACTGATTTTATACCTAAATTTAAAAGCTTAAATGCCTATCTTTAAATGTAGAGGACACTCATGCTTTGTTGAGAGATGTCGTGATAGAATATTCATTTATTTAACCTTTAGCCTTAATTGTTAGTTGAACTTAAAATTTCACTTTAATAACTATTTCACATACTTTTTAAAAAAATCAGTTATTTTAAACTTAATTCATTCCTTGAGACCTGCCATGAACACTTTTGTTTTTACTTAGAGTTACAGTTAAATTAAGAAAGTGACATCCATGATCCTGTTTAATGTAACATCTCAAAAGTTTGTAGCAGTGGAATTTCAAGCCTTAGTTTTCATTAATGCCAACCCAAACAGGCTGATTTGTAAGGGTTTTTTCAGTTTGGCAAAAACATAGCAAGATAAGGGAAATTAATTTTGTTTCAACCTGTATTCTATAATATATGATGAAAATTGCTAATTCCTTCTTCAGTAAGTAAAATTACTAAGTTTAACTCCCTGCCATAATTACAATTTTCAAATTCTTAACTAAAATTGTAGTGTTAAAGTACTTGCTATTTTAATGCATTGATTATTTTTGAACTTGTAATAATTGGGTGAAGTTAACCTGGAATGAATCGAAAGCTCAAAATTACATCTTGCTGATTTTCTGAGTTGGATATAGACTTTAAGAAGTAGGAAAAAAAAAATTTTTTTTTAACACTAAAAGAGTTACAATTTGGAAATAATTCTGCCATATTTGAAGAATTTATAACTTAACAAACATGATACTTCAACCCATTAAAGGAAAAGAAACCCCAACTACTACTAAGTAATAATTATATAGAATATCAGAGAATAGATAGCAGTTATATGCCTTATTAAAAATAACTGGTATAATTTCCATAAAATTTAGTAGATTGGAGTCTTGCTGAATTTTATTAGGGAGTTACACAGAAAATTCTTTCCAGATTTGAGAGGAAAAAAAGGTACAGATCTTTCCGGTTTCAGAATTATCACAAAGATATTCTGGTTATAATTGCTGAGATGAGACATAGGAAGAAAGACGTATTCTATTTTTACTATTTTCTAGACCTTTTTGGTCAAGTTATTTTAACGTTTAATGGAAAGACTCTGATGGTAGAAGATGGTGGAGAGGAAATTGGAGTTCGTGTTTGTTCCTTAGGTGAGGAAAATAAATTGGAAATTTAGGAGCAAAATAAGGAATGTCATCAATAATTCATGTGTTGTATTTTTTCTATTACTTTAGTGAAAATAGAGGAATGAAACTAAGTATTTGCTGAAGTTAATAATTGTTCTTAGTTTTTTCTGATAGATCCAAATCTCCTGGATTTATGCAGCTGCCCAGTAACTTAATTAGTACTTAGTTCAGGATTTTTTTTTCTGTTTTCTAAATAAATGTACAGCTGATTTATTCTCCCTTCTTCTTTTTTTTTTAAGGAATCTAGGTAAAAATGGCTTATCTAACAGTAGCATTTTATTGGATAAATGTCCACCTCCAAGACCGCCATCTTCACCATACCCTCCCTTGCCAAAGGACAAGTTGAATCCACCTACACCTAGTATTTATGTGAGTCTGAATTAACTGACTAGACATAAATTAAACCGGTGTTTGCACCTACCTGTCTTTCATAAGATCTTGCTTTAAGTTAATATGGATGCCCTTTAGGAAACATTAAAATTATTGGCAGTAGCTTGAATGTTTTGGGGGGAAAACGATGTATTCAGAAAGACTTCATAATAGCATTTAAAACATGCCTTCTCAGTTATTAACCATGATTACATTAGAGTAGTGAGAAATACTTCTTACTGCCTCCAATTTTGAATGGTATGAGGCAAAAACCACCTAAAAGTATAACTTATGCTGGGTTTTAAATCTGCATTCTGCTAGTTGTATGGACCTTAACATTCATTCTGCTTATGCATCTGCAAAACTATATATTTTCATTACCTTCAAAAAAGGCATTTGAAAACATAAAATGTGATAATAGGTATGTCATTTTTTTTTTAAAGAATGTTAAAAGATTATTTAAAACCGGATGTTAGTTTTACTTTAAGAACATTTAGACATCTGATGTAGGAAGTTGATAAAAGTTCAAAGAAACTCTTAAACATTTCTCCCAAGTAGGTCCTCCTACCCCACTTCCTTCCATCCTCCCAATTCTACCCCAAATGAAAAAAATGTTAAACTATAAAGTTTGTTTTTGGGGATTTGGCCCTGTTTTTGCCCTCTAGAGGCCAAATAGTGTATTAATCCTTCCTCCAACCAGTATTGATCCTTTAGTATGTAAGAGAAGCACTGGGATAGATGTGTAATAAAACCTTTAAACTGAAGGCTGAGAGAGGGAAATGCAAAATTAAGATTTATCTTTTATGGGTCTTCAGCTTGCTTTCACTTTGGTATTATTTTTAAAAACACTTTGACCTTTTGTGGTTTTCTTTTCTCTTTTTGTGAGGAAAAAGCCCACATAACATAAAATTTACCATCTTAACCATTTTTAACTATACACTTCGTAGTGTTAAGTAATATTCTTATTGTTGCAAAACACTTCTCAAGAATCTTTTCATCTTGCAAATCTGAAATTCTATACCCATTAAATAGCAACTCCCTTTTCCCTGGTCTCCTCAGCCCCTGGGTAACCACCAATTTATGTTTCTATAAATTGACTACATTAGATACCTCATATAAGTAAAATTTTACACAATTTTTCTTTTTGTGAGTGCTTTATTCTCACTGAACATAGTGTCTTCAAGGTTCATCCACATTGTAGCATGTGATAGGATTTTCTTCCTTTTTAAAATTGAATAATATTTAAATTGCTTTGATTTTGAAGTTTTAATTTTATTTCTTCCCGCATATTTTGTTCAAGATACAGTGGACAAGAGAAATGTATGTGGTTACTATCTAATTACAACTTAGGGTCAAAAGACATAGTGATAAAATGCTATAAAACATAAAATAGAAATTACAGGGTGCATTGTTGAAATTGCAATAAATGATGAATATGAATTTGGCATAATATTTAAATAAGAGGTCTGTTTTCCAGAGATCTGACCATATGTTTTAATTTTACAGTTGGAAAATAAACGTGATGCTTTCTTTCCTCCATTACACCAATTTTGTACAAATCCAAACAACCCTGTTACAGTAATACGTGGCCTTGCTGGAGCTCTTAAGTTGGGTAAGCTTTAAATAAGAAAAAAGTTTTATATTTCCTTTGCTATCTGTGACTCTTAAAGCAGTGGCAGAAACTTATTTCTATTAAGTTTTTCAGTTTTCACATTTTCATTTTAATATTTTCTGGCTGTGTGTGTGTGTGTGTGTGTGTGTGTGGTTGTGTATCACTTTTTTAATCCATAGTGTGAAGATACAATGACAATATTGGTTCCTGGCAATTTACTAGTGGTTTTTAAATTTAGCTTTTATTTTGGTCTAATTATATAATTGTGATTTAGGTTATCTAATGAAAGAATTTCATTAGGTTATCTAATGAAAGATAAAATACAATGCTACTAATAAGATTGTAGCCTCCTAACTAGTGCCTGGCCCCTTGATTCCGCCTTTGCTGGTGGCATGATGATTAGGTCTGGGGCTTCATTGTCTGGTTGTGTAAACCTGGCACGAAGTTTAGGTTGTGCAGAGGCCCTGGTTGTTTTTTAGGGGAACCGGATAGAATGCCATAAAGCACTTTTAATGTATTATTCCAAATATAATTTTCATTTATTAACTACATTTATTTATTTATGAAGACCTGGGACTTTTCTCTACCAAAACTTTGGTGGAAGCTAACAATGAACATATGGTGGAAGTGAGGACACAGTTGTTGCAGCCAGCAGATGAAAACTGGGATCCTACTGGAACGAAGAAAATCTGGCATTGTGAAAGTAATCGATCTCATACTACAATTGCTAAATATGCACAGTACCAGGCCTCCTCCTTCCAGGAATCATTGAGGGTAAGTGTTTACTCCTTGAACATTATTTTATTTTTAGACTGTTTTATTGTTTTATGTTCTTTTATTTTGAAAGGGCACATTTCTTTTGTAAGCATCTCATTATTTTGTAGTTACACGAGATACTATGTAAGGGCTATGCAGTTTGCTCTTAGTAAAGTCAAGGCAAGCCTATGGGTTGATAAAGTAAATATTGTTACGAGATGTCTCCCTCATCCCTGGGATGTTTCTGTTTAAAGCAGGCTTTCTCAATCTTGGCATTATTAACATTTTGGTTGGATAATACATTGTTGTGGGAGGCTGTCTTGTATATTGTAGGGTGTTTGGTAGCATCCCTGACCTCTCTCCACTAGATGCCTATAGCACACCCCTTACCATCTACCCCAGTCGTTAACAGTCAAAAAGGTCTCCAGGCATGCCAAATATCCCTTGGAGGGTAAAATTGCCTCTGATTGAGAGCCACTGATACCAGAGGATAAAGTAAGTCTCAAGATTGCTTTATGCTTGCAAAATTCCTAGTCTTGTGCCTTCCCATTTTTCTCCTCTACCAGGTTAGTATTATCTGATAGATAACGCCTCCAGGAAGCATTAGTGTTGTTCTTACTGGCCTCAGTCTGAAAGAGAAAACTGAGGGAGAGGCATAAATTATTTCAAAATATATGGAAAATTAAAAACCAAAGCAGAAAAATAATCAGAGGATTATTATTAAAAGACTCAGTCATTTCAGCAGTGAATCATTACTAAAATCCTTTAGCACTATAATGAGTACTTTGTGAATTCTCCCACAAAGTGAACATAAAACATCCACAAAAATGAGTTTATTAAATGTATTACTCAAATACTTGTCTGTACTACTAAGTTGTTTTGTACATATCCTACAGCTAAAACTTAATATGTGCCTGCAAGTCTTTAATTTGTAATTCATTAGATTTGCTTATCTCTTTAAAATTCTGCCTCTAGTTCACATTTTTAATGAAGGCAACATTTGTACCTGCAAACTGTGTATTTGTATTTCTTTCTCACTACCATTCCCTATATCCTACAGAGAAATTCATCTAATGAGAATTGTCCTGCAGCTTTAATGAGCTGTAGTGAATTCATTGTCTGTATGACTCTCATATGGACAAACTTTTGAGATACTTCAACTATGTGGTAGTATTATGTTCAGAAGAGGATAAATAATAAGCAAGATTCAGGGATCACCAAAGAAACCACCAAAGGAGGAGGAGTTGAAAAGCAAAGATCCTAAGAGGCAGAGTATTTATATGGGATGGGATCCATAACCAAAGAAAAGATGCCTTTTTATGTGCTTTGACAGCATGGACCATTACATGTGAAAAATTTGGCAAATGTTTAGAAACTATACATTTAAAGGGAGGGAGGCCAAAATATACTAAGTATTGCTAACTCGAATAGTAGGACAGTATTGAGATACTGTATCTGTGACCCCAAAATTGTAAATAATAGTAGTAATATTTGCATTGAAAAGCACCTATATTTATGCAGCACTTCTTTTCCTTACTAATGTTGTAAATGTGTTACCATTTGTGTATAATTCATTGTGGAAGAAAAGATTTAACCCAGGGAGAACTTCCATTTGTCCATAATCAAGAATAGAGAACATCTTAATCTTCTACCCTTATAGTTACATACATACCCACACAGCCCTGCTAGTTTAGAAAATTTATAATCAAGATGGATAGGCCTCTCAATTAAAAAAAAAAAAATTCTCTCCTCTTAAAAATGGGGCAAGAATGAGAATCTATAGATTTTTCCCCTTATAGAAGAATGTTATTAAGAAAGAACTCTTAAGATAACTGTGGCTGAGGAGGTCAGATACCATGCCGACGGGTGGTGAGCATTGACTTTTCTTGGGTTTTTATTTATTGTGTGGTCTTTAAAGAAATTTTCATGTGAAAGCGGCCTGTAGAAACTTAGCTTCCAAACATAGATAATACCATCAATCTAGGTGTGAAATTTACAGTTGCATGATGGAAAGGATAGCTGGTTGTGGAATACTAAACTAGAATGTGTTTTGCTTAATCTATAGGAAGAAAATGAGAAAAGAAGTCACCATAAAGACCACTCAGATAGTGAATCTACATCTTCAGATAAGTAAGTCATTTTTAATGTCCACTTAGTATTTCTGTTTAAAAGGCATGTTTCTAATATTGTCTCTCTTTTTTTTTTAAGTTCTGGGAGGAGGAGGAAAGGACCCTTTAAAACCATAAAGTTTGGGACCAACATTGACCTGTCTGATGACAAAAAGTAAGTCTTCATAGTATTTCTGTGAACTGATGCAAAGAGGTATCCTCTGCAAGACTGAGAATTGTCTACAGTTTCCTCTTCTCTTTCCATCCTTGTCATTTTTCCAAGTTGATATACAAGTTTCACATAAATTATTTTTGCTAGGTTTTACAATGAAGTTATTTTCTTAAACTTAAAACTCTTATACAGGTTTTCATCAAGACCCTGACTAGGCTAAGTACACAATCATAAAGTTACATTTTATGACTAATAGTGTATAATAATTTTATAAAATAGAATTCTACAGCAATTATAAAAATAGGAAGTCAGGTTTTTTTCTTTCATTTACTCGGTATTTTTGTTTTGTTTTTAACTCAGTAATTTTTATGCCTCTTTTCATTAGGAAGTTTTCTTTGGAAAAATTGAAAAAATTAAGCATTTCAGTGTTCCCTATGCAAAAGTACAATATTTATAGATCTCATTGTTTTTTGGATTGGGACACAAAGTTTTTGAAGAAATGGCTAACTTCCACAAATATTTGTAGCAGGATTTCACTCTTGATCTGTTGTTATTTTATTGCAGATGGAAGTTGCAGCTACATGAGCTGACTAAACTTCCTGCTTTTGTGCGTGTCGTATCAGCAGGAAATCTTCTAAGCCATGTTGGTCATACCATACTGGGCATGAACACAGTTCAACTGTACATGAAAGTTCCAGGAAGCAGAACACCAGGTAACTTTTATGAACTAACATTATCTCCTACAGTTGAAAAACAGAATTAATCGAAATGTGAAACATGCAAAAGAGAACCAGATTCTTTTCATATACAGTGAAGGAAACTGAAAGGATTACTCCTGTTATAAGGTTTGACTTGTATTATTAAGATTTTTCCTGTTATATTCTTTTTTTTAAATAAAATAGTCCTGGGGCGCCTGGGTGGCTCAGTCGTTAAGCGTCTGCCTTCGGCTCAGGTCATGATCCCGGGGTCCTGGGATCGAGCCCCGCATCGGGCTCCCAGCTCGGCGGGGAGCCTGCTTCTCCCTCT